ACACTTGCCCATGTACCTATTTTGTCTTCAGCGATTGTGTCGGGAAGGTGAGCATTACAGAATGCTGGATTGTTAGAACAAAGGGTTCTTGTGTTAAGGGAGTACTTGAGTCCAGGCCAAATATCCAGCTGCAACCTTAATCCTTAACACATAGATATGAGTACATAGTTCTATTCCCCTCTTATTATATATACATATTTTACATATGTACATGCCTATATTTAGTCCAGGGGGAGCAGAGAGATGAAAACCTCTGGGAATACCAAAAATAGACTTGGGATACAGAGTGTGGCACCCCATCAGACTCGACTGGAAAACACTCCTAAAGGCCAACAAATAGACCTTGAACTATTTATAGACTTTTCCATTTTTGTCAGTGGCTTTCTTTTTGTTATTGTTTTTTGCTGTTGTTACTGTTTTATTGGTTTTGACTTCCTTTGTTGTTTCATTTGGCTTTGCCTGGTCTTTTCATTTATTAATGTGTCTGCATGTCTATCTCGATAAGCTAGCCAGGGTAGATAATTCGGAGATGAAAAGAATGGGACCAGTGGTTCTGGGGGCATGCGGGAGAAGGGGAAGTGGGAGAGGGGACGGGGGAAACCAACCCAGGGACAGGGGAACAAGTGAATTAAAATCCATGAAAGGAAGGTCATAGGATGCCTAGTGGGGCTCATTCAAGAGCAACGTAGTAGCGAGGAATTACTAAACCCGAATGAAGGCTGGACATGATGGTGGGACAAGGGGGAAGTTAAAAAGAAATAGAGGAAAGAACCAGGGGCAAGGGACATTTATAGGTACACACTCTTCTACCATTGCCCATGCCTCACCCCACAAAACAAACCCATGTGGACAGACCAAACTGAAGAAGCACCTCACTTCACTCTCCAGGCAGTTCCCAGACATACCAGAACACATAGAAGTCTGCTATTAAATTCTGAAATTCTAATTTAGCTACTACAGAGTCAGAGATAAGGCTCCTCACTGAAAACACATTCCACCACTGCCTCCTTAAGATGGCTGAGCGGCTGGGTTATGAAGGACAGATGTAGGCAGTAAAAATCTAGAGCTTTTCTACTGTTTAAAAGTCACCTTTTCTGGATTCACGAAGTTCATTTGGTTGCTGTAACCCTCCACCTGTTTTCAAAGTTGATAAAAAGAGTCAACCAATTTCTGGTTGTTTTACTTAATGATCTAATAGGGGGATAATTAGAGAATCTTCCAGGAAGTGCTGGTCAGTCTTTTTAAGTGTAGTTTTTCTTGTGGATGAATAGTATTTCAGTTCAGTTTGTACCTTGCATTTTGCTACAGAATCATCATGTTGAATTAGCACTAATTAAAGTGTGTGACTGCTAACCATATGGTTGGTGGTTTGAATCCACTAGCCAGTCCACTGAAGAAAGATGTTACAAACTGCTTTTTATAAGGAGTGTATCCTTGGAAAAGCCTACAGTTCAATCCTGTTCTACAAGTATCAGTGGATCTCTGTGAGTCAGAGTCCATTTTTGATGGTAATGCATTTGGTTTTAGAATGTTGTTGTTAGGTGCCATCCAGTTGGTTCTAAACCACAGTGAGCTTATGCACAACAGGATGGACTACTGCCTGTCCTGCACCACACTCACAGCTGTTCCCATGCTTGAGTCCATTGCTACAGCCACGATATCAATCCATCCCCTTCAAGGCCTTCCTCCTTTTTGTTGTCCCATTTTATTGTTAGGTTCCATGAAGCCAGTCCCAACACATAGCAACCCTAAACAAAACAGAACACAACACTGCCTTGTCCTGTGCCATCCTCACAATGCTTCCTGTGCTTGAGCCCTTGTTGGAGCTACTGTCTTGTCTGTCAGTTCGTCATATCACGGTGGCTTGTGTGTTGCAGCATTGGTCCAAAGATAAAGTTCAAAAAGGTTAGGTAGGAGAGGGAATGGAAACAGGTAACCTAGGAAGAAGTGGGTTAACGTTTGATGACTGGAGATTGCAGTCAATGGGATTAAACAAGCTGTACAAATTGTTAATAGTTGTTAATGGGAAAACTGATCTGCTCTGTAAACCTTCAGCCAATTCACAAAAAAGTTTAAAAAATAAATAATCATGTCCTATAACCTAGGAATTCTCTTTCCAATTGCAAAATCTTTTATATTTGATGTAGTTTAAATATTCCATGAAACCATTCTGATTTCTCAGTTAGTAATTAGTCTTTCTGACTCAGGGGTCAGAAGGGCTCCCATTGCTATTCAAAATAGACTCTTCTTTATCAATCTTCAGTGAATCGTCATCACCCATAGCAATGACTTTCAAAAATTGGTGGGCATTTTCTGATATACTATGTCTGGAGGTTCTGATACATAATGTTCATAGATTCTGACTCCTAAATAAATAATGTGTTAATAATTTTTAAGTTCATCCCACATACGAGACATTGAATATGTTGTGATGGCATATTTATTTATTTAGTTTTCATAACTATCCTGTGAGATAGAAATTTTTTCCTATTACGTAGATGATAACCATCAATGATAAATTTGGTTCAACTATCTTTTAATGGCCCTTGTCTGTCTCTTCAACTGATAGATAGCCTGCTACTCCCTCCCAATTCCTCTTTGAATTGAAATATTCAACTGCGTGTTCCTATAAAATGTCATCTCTTTTCACATATCTGTGCTTTTGTCCTGTTCTTCATTTCTGAACCTACTTTCTATTTCTTCATTTAGAAAATTATGCTGCTTATTCTGTTAAGGCGTTTCATTTAGAAATAATCTTCAAGATGCCTCCTAAATACAAAGTTCTAATTAGGTTACTTGACACTCATATTTTTTCAGAATATCTTGTGCATAATAAAATCATTGGACTTAATACTGTCCAGAAATGAGCTGTGTGCTTTTTTACCTCCTCCTCCTTTGCTCTTAACTGAAGTTCCTTAAGTGTAGAAACTGGATTGATTTTCCTTTCTAATCTCATCTTAACCTACAGTGTCATATCAAATAGGAGCTCAGTAATGAATCTCTGTGTACTTTGAAAATTACCATGGCTCAACTAAGTCCATGTGGAAGAAGCATACCAGCATGTGTGATTCAAGGATTATAAATAATGAAGCCCAAATCTGAAGGAGAGAATGGTGTCAGAGTTTAAATGATGAACACCTGGTTTTCAGAAGTTTATGGATGACAGTGGAAGCCCCAAATCCATTTGCAGGGTGCTCACATGGATTTAAGCCTCCTGTGAATCTCCTCTGTCTATAGTTGAGAGGTGTGAATACCCTTGTTATCAGAAAGAGCATTGTAAAATCATTAAAGCAGACATAGGTAAAAATTTAGCATCTTATCATTTAAGCCCCCTTTTGACTCATTTAAAAGTTGTCTCAGTTTAAAAAAAAAAAGTGAGAGGAAGTACATGTGGATTAAGCCCCCTGGTGAAGCCCTTCTGACCATAGTCCAGGGATGTGATAACTTTGCTATCATGCAGATTGCATTGAAACACTTTTCAGATGCAGTAAGGTTAAAAGTTAACACCTTACATTTGATTTCTCTTTTAAATTTGTTCTACTTTTTAATATTTTCTCCTGTCTTTTCAAATGAAGTTTTCCTGTTTTATTTTTTTGTTGTTAGTTTTTAAAAAATGATTTTGTGTAGATGAACTCCAGGGTAGGTAAATCTATAGAGACAGTAACGGGATTAATGGATTCTCAGTCTGGCAGGGGAAGGTTGCGGGATGGGGGAGATGGGGAGCTGGTAATGATGGATACAAGAACAAAGAAAATGTTCGAAAATTGGGAGATGATTCTACAATTCTTCTTAATGTAATTGAATTACAGCAATGTGTGTTTTATGAATTATATATCAAAACTGTTTAAAATGAAGAAAAGTTACCATGGCTACTTTTAGTTTGTCTATTTCATTTTTCCATGTTTTCTTAAAACCATAAAGATATATTAATAAAATCTCAATGCATAGAACCCTTAAGGGTGAATTAAGGTGCAGGAGATTTAATCAAACCCTTTACTTTCTGCTCTGATTTTTAATTTTTTGAATCATGTGTCGGTAATGGAAAGAATTTTAAATTAAATAAAAGAAAAGTTTTATTGAGATAATGTTGATTTTGATACAATTGGTGAGACACCTATGTCCCAAGGGGTCTTTGCTGGAGGGATCGGTGGAATGAAGCCAGTTTCTACAGATTCACCCAGTTATATAGCCAGCATAGAGTAAAAAGTAAGTTAGAAGCTTCCCACCAACTCCCAGAGGCAGAAACAATATAGCCCCTCACCCACAAAAGGGTTAAGGTGGCTAGTTAAATGATAAATAAAGGACTTATAACTAGATATTGAAAATGAGCATATGTGGGAAAAGAGAACATAACTTAAAGACCCTAAGGTCAATTTTAGGTTTTCTCTTCTTTAATTCTGTTGTAATTCACATGAAAAGTATTCATATATCTTATATTTGCTTTTTTAGTTGTAAATGATGAGATTTTCTTACGTATCTTTTTGATATGTACATTAATGTATAGCAATTATAGTGTTAGGTATCAGTAATATATAAAGCTGGACAATGAATAAAGAAGACCAAAGAAGAATTAATAATGCATGTAAATTATGGTTTTTGAGAAGAAAATGGAATATACCAATGACTGCTAGAAAAACAAACAAATCTGCCGTGGGAGAGGTGTAGCCAGAATTGCTCTGTAAAGTGGGGTTGGGGAGACTTCATTTCACGAGCTTTGGCGATATTGTCAGGAGGAACCAGTGTCTTGGAAAGAACTTCATGCTTTGTAAAGTCAAGGGCCAATGAGAAAGAGGAAGGCCCTCAATGAAATGAATTTAATAAATGACTGAAAAAAATGGTTTCCAACACAGCAACAATTGTGATGATGGCACAAGAGTGTGCAGCGTTCCATTCTGTTGCAAATAAGGTCACTGTAAGTCAGAGTCACCTTCGTGGCACCTGACACCACCACTGTGTAGGTATAAAGTAGCAATAAGACCCTATGCTTTGTGTCATTTCAGCTGCAGTCATTCAATACCACTGCGCCTTGTCAAGATGTAAAACAGCTAACTAACGGAGTCGCCATGGCGCAAGTCCTTCATCAGATGTGAGTATTGGTTCTGCCTTTCCGAAAAAGAATTGTAAGCCCAATATGAACATCTAAAAGGAGGAAAGCATTCTAAAGGTTACTGAAACTGTTACATATTCTCAGTAATGAAAGTCAGGGTATCAATGCATTTTTGGAACTATAGGAAAAAATTTACCTATTTCTCCTTCCTGCTCATAGAGATGCATTTTATTAAGAAATCGAGATTTTTAATTTTGGGGGAATTTATGTTTAAGCTGTTCAGCTCCTGTTCATGAGATCAGAGAAACCAATTAAATGAAAGCTTTAATAGCTTAGAATATTTCTATCAGCTATACTTTGCTATTTTAGGGTATTAGTGCATGGAGATTGTTGTTTTAGAAGTTATTAAATCATAAACTCACAGAGGAGTGGATTTGCATAATATAGCAGAGTTACATTTTAATACATATTCTTGGATTATTATTAGTAAATAATAAAATCATTTGTGAGTGACATTAGAAGCTGAGGGATCTAATCTAACAAAGTGACTAGATCTCTTTCATTTATTAAATGTACCTAAATTCCTTGTTACCTAATATTTTCTAGCTATTGTACAAGATAGCTAGAATTGAATTTATATGAATTTATTTTCATAATATTTATTCTAGGAGACCATAATCCTATCTCTGTTTCACATTGTTATTGTTAAAGAGTGTTTATTATTATAAGGTAATAGCCATTGTCATGTAAAAGTTTGAGGTGATTCATATTGAGAACTATGTTATTGAGTTAGCAAAAATTCATTACCACTTGTAGAAAGACAATATAATATGTCAATCCTAGCTTCTTGAAATGTTCAAAATTATCAAATTTTACAGTTAAGTTTAACACTCTAAGAGACCAACTTAAATCTTACCTTTTTGGGTGTATTATTAAAAAATATGCCTATTTCCCTGCTTTCTTAAAGAATACTTCTTAAATATTTTATTTACACCTGTGTAGTTTAAAGTTGTTTTACTTTGTCATGGACAAGCCTTCTGAACATGATTTTTTCATGAGGATTTGGGAAAGACATCACTCTTTTGTCTTTGGAATGTGCACCTGACTTCACAAATAAGTGTGTTAGGGGCGTTAGTGTGGATGTAGCTACACTGTGGTTGGTATGGGTGAAAGCGTTGTGCCCATTCATTACTCATTCCCACAGTGCCCTCTACAGCTGTCACTTGTGTGCAGTGTGGTGGGCTTTAAGTGGCTTTGAGCCACAAAATAGTAGAAAAGCCCAGCTTTTACCATGGTACAAGACATGTGGTTCTCTGATCTCTTCTGCAATTGTTGCATTGTGCCTGAGATTTTGAATCCTACTTGTCTACACACTGCCATTGATTTGATTCCAACTAATAGTGCCTGCGTAGGCCAAGTAGAACTGCGCTTAGGGTTTCAAGGCTGCTCCACTTTCTCCCACTAAGCGGCTGTTGAGTTCAGACCTCTGTGCCACAAAGGCACGTTTTATTATTCATTGCTTTGGCGGCTATTAGTTGCATATCAAATCACATCTAAGTTGTTAATGAAGGGAAACTTTTAAAACGTTAAAATTTACCAGAGACGGATAAGCTCCTATCGGATCGAAGAGTGGGATTCCCAAACTGTCTCAGACAGAGGGAATCATAGAGTTATTGCGAGGGCTTTACAGGTCTTGAATGCATGCTGTGTACTTCTCTTTTTCAAATGTATGTAGCTGTTGTTAGTAAAAAAGCATCGTTTTAAAGCTGCTCTTGAATGTGTTGTAGCCTTTAATACGTTTCTTAATTAGTAGATTTTGGAAATATCTGTCCGGTCCAGCGGGAACAGCAACGTGGGTCCTGGATAGAGGGAGCGGGACGCTAAGAATGGAGATGAGACAGGAGGCTGAGCAGCTCTCTGTGTTCTCTTTGTTCTGAGTTCTCTCTTTATTTTTCCACAAGCCGCAGCTTATCAAGGCGAAAAGGAAGGGAGTGCCCGCAGGACATGCAAATCAGGCTACTACTGAACGCCCAATCAGAAATCTTGCAAAAGCACACCCAGCCAGCAGTCAGTAGTTTCCGATCAGGTCCCTGGGAATGACATCACCTTATGCTAATTAGGTGAAACAGCACATATGCTAACAGGGTGCTTGTTAGCCAATACAAATACAGTGAACCCTCGCCACTTCTTGCTTTCGACTTCAGCGGCTTCACTCTATCTCGGTTTTTGCATAACAGCGCATGCTCTGTCATTACTGCCACTGATTGGCTCATACTGTACACGCTTCTGTCTGCAT